CTGACTCATGGCTTGTCAAGAGGCACTTTTTCTTTAAGCCTCGGAGGCGAGGCGTAACAATTTCAACAAAATTGATGTTTAATTCTGAACAGTAAGGGCCTTGAAAAAAATCTTTATTTGATTTTCAGACATCTTTCGGGAAATTGTTAAGGCTAATGAATTTGAAGATTTCAGTTATTCTTTGCAAGCCTAATGGTTCAAGAAAATCTGACAACGAGTCTAAGCTTGTGTTTGACACTCATTTTGGAGAAGAATTTGATTTGGAATAGTAATTGATGGAAGAAGGTGTGGTTAAAAAGTAATGAAATTTTTTGAATTTACGTGTAATATTATTTTATTGATAGAATGTGTGGTTGAAATGAAAAATAAGAAAAGAAAATGAGAAAGAGAATGAGAAAAAACTGGATGTTAAACAAGGGCTAAGGTAGAAAGCTAAAGAATATTAAAATATTTGACCACAAATTCGTAAGTGCACAAAACCCTGAGAATGTATTTGTTTTGGTACGATTATTATATTTAGCCCCTCTTTCATAAGTATTAAAATTAAATTTTAATTTAAGTTAAAGTTAACAGTTATTTTTAACTATATATTTTATGAAATCCACAATTTTTCGATTACACATTTCTTTAACTTTTATCAAAATATATTAGAAATCTGATTTTAATTCCCATCAACAAGAGCTTATTATTATTATTTTTTTGATAATCGTGGGTGTTCGGACCAATTTGCGCGCACCTCAACTAATTTCACAAGACCTTGAAGTTTAAGGCCGAATGCTCACCTCAGTAGTCATGAAAGGACTCGAACTGATGATCATTAGAGAGCAAATCAAAGATCTGACCAATTGAGTAACTCCTCAAGGTTAACAAGAGCTTATTATGGTCTTTGAATAATTAAAAATAAGAAAACATGTAGTTTGATCTTGATACCTTATCATACTTTACGCCTTTTAAAATACCGAGTATTTCTATTACTCAGTTTAGAATATTAATAATTAACACTAGAATTGAGATATGAATCAGTGAAAGATGAAGTTCAAGAATTTGAATGGAAAATAACATGGATACTAATGGCATGCTGTTCATTAGTAGTTTTTATGTCTTTTATGTTTGTCCAGTTTCGAAAAAATGAATATTCTTTCAATTATCAACTTCGTTATGCTAAAAAAGAAATGAATACCGATAACAAAAAAGAAAAAGAAAAATAAAAAAGTTAGCTCGGGATGAGACTGGTCCACACCAAATCGTCGAAATATATCATATCGCATTGCATCATGTCACGTCTAGAAACATGTGAAATATTTACTTGTTAGCTAGACAATTGTACTCAGTTCATCTTTACAAATGTACAAGTTAATTTTACAAAGAGCAAGTCACCCCTTAGTTTTTTATTACAATAGCATAATTTAGTTTCTATCCAAATCTCTATTAATTCTTATATGATCATTACGTGTCCAACTTTATAAAATTAGATTTTACACAAGAGTTGTGGGGGTGATTTCACTTAGATTTGAGCAGTTTTCTTTATTGTATAGGCTGATTGTGTAATTATAATAAAAAGTTGGCGACTAATTTTACTCCTTTTTAAAGTTTAAAGACTCTTATATCAAATTCTATAGAAACTCAACAAGAAAGTCGGAAGAAGTCGACCCAATATTCTATCAATCCGCTTCCAAAGTCGAGGATCGTTGTTGTTGGGTTACCAGATGATATATATTTATACGGATGTCCCAAAACATGAATAAATAAAGAATTTTCACAATTGCTGGGACTCCGATGTTTTTTAGAACTACGAAGCAGAAAGTCGAGCTCTAAAATGCTAGCAATGCAATAAAGGTTCCATATTCCACCCTTAAACTGAATTCTCTATAAAATTAATAGCTATGCTATATGAGATGAATGTGAAGTTTATAGGCATATGTAACCAACTAAATTGGGGCCCCTCTTCTATTAAAATTGACCAGAAACATCTGCGATTGACAATTAAATCCCCTAATAATTGTAAACACAAATATATTTCCACACATGTGAAGGCTCTAAACTAAAGCTTTGAAATTGCTTGGCCATAAAGCCAAACTTTTTAGTCCTATAAATGAAACAAATTTATGTCCACATTTGTGGTTGATCTTGTCATGATACATCCCTCTCCACCATTTCATGTAATAGGATTGTGTACAACATGAAGTCGAGCCTATATCTTATAACTGAACACAATTTGCAAATATTATCTGATTTAGCTAAAAAAGTTGATAAAAATTTAAATCAACATATATTTCATGGGACCCATAACTTTTTTCTACTTTTCAATCGCATATTTCATCAACTTTTATCAAAATCTACTAAAAATTTGATTTTTAGCTGAATCAAATCGGGACTTAACAACTAATGGTCAAGATTATAAGTCTAATTTATCATGATCTGATACATTGAATTCTTGATCAATGATTGTGCCTTACCAAATTATTTGTTCCAAATTGATATGGATCACAAGTTTGGAGGGATATTTTGGGTTTTCACATTTGCATAATGTCAACAATTTATTATATGACATGTCTAGAATAATTGATTGGAAGTGTGCAATTGACAAATTTTGATATGTAATTATTTCCTTTTACATTAAATTTAACGCACCAAACATGCTTTCAAGTTATATTAAGACTCTGTTTGATACACATTCTTTCAAATTATATTCTTTCAAAACTCATTTTCAACAATACATTTTTCAATAAAATAATATTTTATATCGCATCAATAACTTTTTCTTACTTTTTAACAACATATTTCTCATAATATCACTATTTAAAATACATTTTTTTCTCAATAATATCCATCAAACACACTCTAAATATAAATATGTGACTATATATCAACAATAGTAAAAGTCGATTCTTACATATTTGATTCCGCGAAATTTTGAAACTATTAAATAATATTGCCAATAATAAATAATCAAATTAAATTTATGACATTTTGTAGTGGAAAATATAGACAGGTAGCCTATGGTTTGAAATTTTGGAAGTGCTTATGTAAGTATTGCCTTCATTGTGGCCACTATATATACCCTTTGCTTTACTTGTATCTTAATTCTTGACTATTTGTATGGATTTTAAACTTGCTTCTAGAAAGCTCTCATCACCATAATGTATTTTAATATAAAAGGTGACCTTTCATCTTTAAAAAAAAAAACGCATGATTACTCTTAAAATAAAAAAAATCACCCCACTTTTATGATTTAGGTAAGTATGGGGTATGTTTATGATCCCATGAAAAATATGTTGAAGTGTTAGATTAGACTAGATAGACGTGTAATTCATCAAACATACGATAATAATTGAAAAATTATGAATTAAAATTCCATCTATATTAGTATAGATGATGATCGTTGGGAGACATAAAGATCAAAGAATAAGTAGAAGTCCTAGTCTTGAAAAGAAATCCAACATATTTCAAAACTCTTGGACATTTTTGGCAAGTAAAGGGATGTTAGTTACAATACCACTCATCTACATGGCTATAACGATGCGTATAAGCACACGCGTGCAACAAGTATGCACATAGCAACTTTTCCATGTAAATACTATAATTTTGCTATCAGATTATAGTAGATTTTGATAAAAATTGAGAGTCCCATGAAATATATGGTTGGAAATGAACTTAGAGAAACATGAATTAAAAAATGGGGTCAATCAGGGGCTATTTATACAACAAAATACGATTAGTACAAATGTCGTATCATACGTCATAAAATACATTAATACACAAGAGAACAAATAAAATACATATTCCAGTGATATTGAAAACATAAGATCTCATTTTCTCATAGACTTTACTGTATAAAACCATAAGTAAAGAATATTTTATTTGGATGGTCTTGTTACTTTTCCCAATGTTGTTTCATACAAAAGGTAACACGTGAGGCTAAAGCTTAACACATCCAGAGTAAAATCCAAGCTCAAATCCAGGGAATACACATGTCTATACACGATTGGCCAGTTTGAAAAATAAAAACAAAAATCATCCAATCAAGTTCTGACACAATGACCTGTTTTTTTTTTCGTGGACTTGACCATGTTCTTTCATCATTTTCCATCAACAAAATGTACACACAAATGAAAACGTTCACCAATTTCAAGAAAGAAGAAGATAAAACAATTAACTATTAAACCCTAATTCTATAAAAAGTAATTAGTTTAAAAGTTTTACTTTAAAAAAAAAAATATTTGTAAATTATAGAAGTCTCTCAAATTATTTGACTTGCTTCTATTTATATTATCAAATCATCATTAGTTTATGTAGCATACACGAATTATTTCTATATGATGTGGGATGCACGAATGACATGCAAAACATTGTTATTAGATCTATTTTTTTATACAGATGAATTTCATATAACTTGAGAAATTCATGAAGGCCCTTTCTCAATAATACTCTTGAAAAATCGCTCGTTCATACGTTTGTGATGTGTAATTCATTTTAGATTAAGAAAAAAATGATCTAAATAAAAGTAAAAGTAACAAATAGTTTGGGGGCAAAATTCTAAATTGTCCTAAACCTAATCTAGATTTCGCCTTTGACCTTCAAACTCATAACCAGAAACGGTGGCGTATTGACGCGGTTTTATTAGCGACAAATACGCACTAAACACACACTCTCTCTCTCTCTCTCTCTCTCCATGCTATTATTATATCTTGAAAATCCAGCAAAATAACGGGCATCTCTCTCTCACACTCTCACACACACACACACACTAACTTTTGTAGTTTTTCACGGAAAAAAATCCTCGAAACAACAGAATGTATATTATTGAATTGAATCACATCCTCCTTTTCTGAAAGGATAATTTTTTTCCTGAACCCAATTTGCCAAAAATTGATGTAGTCTTCACAGATCTTAGCCCATTTTCTCTCGCGTTCATAATCTCTCAAAAATCCCAGAAAAAGAGGAGGGAATCTTGTTTAGTTTTTATTTTTTTATTTATTTTATAGAAAAGACAAACGAAAATGGTGGTGAAGATGATGAAGTGGAGGCCTTGGCCTCCTCTGATTTCAAGAAAATATAAGGTGAAACTCACGGTACAGAGCCTCGAGGGCGGTGATTGGATGCACGAAGGTGCAGAAAAGGATAATGGTGGGCTTGCAGTGGAGATCAGGTGGAAGGGTCCCAGGATTTCTTTGGGCTCATTAAGAAGGACTGTGAAAAGGAATTGCACAAGAGAAGAAATTGTTAGAAGTGTTGATGGGACAGAAGGTGGTGTTCTTGTGGAATGGGATGAAGAATTTCATAGCGTTTGTAATCTTTCTGGGTACAGGGAAAATGCATTTCATCCTTGGGAGATTACCTTTACTGTGTTGCACGTGAGTGCTTTTGCATTTTTTCTTTAACTTTCTTCTTTATTCAAAATTATAGGGTTATGAATTTTTTTTTTCAATTTTACTTGTATATTTTTCTTTAATTCTTTTTGGGTATTTGTCTTATAGGGTAAAGATTTGTGATTTCCAAAATGATATCCTTACATATGTATATTTTATACTTCAATGTATGTGTTATGGGTAATTGTGTGCTTTCTGTGTGTGATTTGAGGATGGATTGTCATATTTTTAGGGTTTTCTGATCTCTATGGGGTAAAAAAACATTGAATCTATATACAGAAGAATGCCTTTTTTGGTAATTTATCTCAAAACTTGAAAATAAAAAAGAATTAAGGGGAAAATTTCTCAAAACTTGAAAATAAAATGATCATCCTCTGAGCATCTCCACTTTTTGAGTTATTGATTAGGACTTTAAATTTGCAAATTTGCCTATTTTGATAGGAGTCAACGTCTTTAGAAATGCCCTTCTATTAAGGTTATACGAGCTAGGTTGTTGTGGTAGTTTGATCAGCCGGATGGTTCCACTTATTTATTTGACTTTCTGAATACTTATTATCTACATTTGGTTGGCATGATAGATTTCTTACATCTTAGAATGATTGCCACTTGTTTGGCAAAATGTTTGCTATTCCATATGGTAGTTAATTTCATAAGAGTTCATAGAATGGGTTTCTCCCTTTTTTCCTCCTTTTTTTAAGTAGTTGCTTCTCGTCAATGAAGTCATTGAAATTTGGCTGTAAAGTTTGTAAACGTCATTGCTCTATTTCCGCTTTTTTCTCAAACCTGGGGTTTGTTTTATATTTACTATGAAGCTTTTCTAATTATCACAAAGGCTACTGTTTTATTTAATAGAACTAAACTCATTTAGTTTTGTTTCAGGGTTTGAATCGAGGGGCAAAAAACAAGGTTGCTATAGTTGGCTCTGCAGTTTTGAACCTTGCTGAATTTGCTTCCAAAATTGAAGAGCAAGAACTAGAGCTCAAGATCCCTTTGGCAGTTTCGGGCAGGGCAGCTGAGACTAGCCCCTTGCTTTGTGTATGTACTAATTTTCAACTATTATTATATTTGCATCTGCAACCAATGACTGAGTGGAAATATCCGTTTTTCATCTGTATTGCAGATATCTCTTAGCTTATTGGAACTGAGAGTTGCCCAAGAATCAACAGAGCCAGAGCAGAGGCAAATCATTCCTATTTCATCCCCTTCACTGACTGGAGAAACTTCCTCATCGGAGAAAGATGAGGTTTCTGCACTTAAAGCTGGTCTCAGAAAAGTAAAGATCCTTACAGAATACGTGTCTACTCGAAGAGCTAAAAAAGCTTGCCTTGAGGAAGAGGGCAGCGAGGGGAGGGGCTCAGGTAAGAGTGACGAGGGCGAGTACACTTATAACTTTGATTCAGATTCACTCAATGAATTTGAGGAAGGGGAATCTGATGAAGCCAAGGATGATTCTACTGTTAGGAAATCGTTTGGTTACGGGACATTGGCTTATGCTAATTACGCAGGCGTGTCATATTACTCCAGTGCTAGAATAAACAGTGAGGATTGGATTTACTACAGCAACCGCAAATCTGATGTTAACTGCTCGCACATGGAGGATCCAGTTTCTACTGTTTCTGAGTCATCATTGTTGCAGAACTCAAAACGTATTATTTTGCCTTGGAGGAAAAGGAAGTTGAGTTTTAGATCTCCCAAAGTCAAAGGAGAGCCGTTATTGAAAAGCGCTTATGGAGAAGAAGGGGGAGATGATATTGACTTTGATCGCCGGCAGCTCAGCTCTGATGAATCTCTTTCTTTTGGGGTAAGAATTGTTTGTGCTTTTTCCTTTTTTCACGACAAATATAATGTCAGTCTTTTAAATCATGTGTTGATAGATACCACAAATGCTCGATCTATACTGTTATTGATATTTAAGCTTATTGTATGAATTCCGCAATTCTTCAGACTTGCTTCTGATGCTATATGTAAGTAATGGCTTTGTAATTCCTGGCAGTTGCACAAGACTGATGAAGACTCAAATCGAAATCGATCGTCAGTTTCCGAGTTTGGTGATGATAGTTTTACTGTTGGCAGCTGGGAGCAGAAAGAAATAACAAGCCGAGATGGACACATGAAGATTCAGACACAGGTTTTCTTTGCTACCATTGATCAGCGAAGTGAAAGGGCTGCAGGAGAAAGTGCATGTACGGCCTTAGTCACTGTGATTGCTGATTGGTTGCAGAAAAATTGTGACCTCATGCCCATTAAATCACAATTCGATAGTTTAATAAGAGATGGTTCCTTAGAATGGAGGAACCTTTGTGAGAATGAGACTTACCGGGAGCGTTTTCCTGACAAGCACTTTGATTTAGAGACAGTCCTCCAAGCCAAAGTCTGTGATCTCAGTTTGGTTCCTGGGAAATCATTTATCGGGTTTTTCCATCCAGATGAAATGGAGGAAGGAAATTTTGATTTTTTGCATGGTGCTATGTCCTTCGACAACATTTGGGATGAGATTAACCGTCTAGAGTGTTTTAACAGTGGGGAAGCCCCAGTTTTCATTGTCAGTTGGAATGACCATTTTTTTGTACTGAAGGTTGAAGCAGATGCTTACTACATCATTGACACGTTAGGGGAGCGGTTGTACGAGGGATGCAATCAGGCTTACATACTGAAATTCAACCGGGATACTACTATATACAAAATGCCAAGTATCACACAATCATCAGAAGAGAAAACTGTTGGCGATCAGCAGACTGTTGCTGGGACAGTGGTGTCCAAGAGCTCGAATGCACAGCAGGTGAACTCAAGGGACAATTCCGAAGACGGGGCAAATGTGGCAGCACCCGAGGAACCAATGAAGAACGAAGAGGAAGTTGTTTGTAGAGGTAAAGAGTCGTGCAAGGAGTATATAAAGAGTTTCTTGGCTGCAATTCCGATTAGAGAACTCCAGGCAGATATCAAGAAAGGTTTGATAACTTCAACGCCCGTTCATCACAGACTACAGATTGAATTCCACTTCACCCAATTACAACCACGAGCTACGACCTCGACTCCACCGATAGAAGAGGCCACAACCATGCAAAAAGCAGTTGATGTTACTCTAAGTGAGGTTGTTACTTAAAAAGACTAGGTTTTAGAGACTTTTAATTGTAAATTTGGATAGCATGATTGTTTCTAACTTGATTTTTTCTTTGGGTCGAGTCCAGTATTGAGCAGCTAATAGAAGTGACTGCTCGATCGTTTGATCATAGTCGTGTTTAATTTTACTGTGTCAAGGACTAGAGGTGAAATCATCTCCTTTGTTCCACAAGTTGCACTTCTAATCCAAGTGTGTGTTTGGTCTACAATTGTGTCTTTACCTTATTTATTAGGTACATTTTGTAAACTGCAAAAGTAATTATTTTTTCTTTCTTTAGTAGCTCTATCTTGTGATTTTTATGCTAAACCTTTCTTATTTCTGTCAAAATAAGTAATTTCATTTAAAGATACCTAACTTCAATTTGTTTACCTAATGACTGTTTGGATAGCTATTTGGTGGACCGAGCTATTGGGTTTGGAATTCCAGTTTTTTCATTCTTTCGCGTCATTTTTGACTGTCGAAATAACCTCCCAAATAGGATTTATACCATATGTCACGAGCTTAGCGTTTATCCAACTAACTGCTAGCACCGCGCAGCTTTAACAATTCAAAGTTCCTGCCCCTCGCAGGAATCACGTTAAGTCAACCTTCAACCCACCCACGAATTTAACCTTTTAAGGTTAATTTAGTTCACTTTAAACTCGAGGAAAATATGAACAGCATATAGAAGAAAAGAACAACACAGTTTGGGGAGAATCTGCCTATATATTTCGAAGAGAAATCTTTACAAAACATGAAAGTGTTTATCCTCACTTCAACTCCATGATTCATTTGATCCAAAGGCCAGATTTATAGTATCTAAATACTGCAGTCGCTTTTTGCTCTAAAATTGTTTATTTTACATCAAAATTTACATAATATTTTATAGATTGAGGAGGCGTCAAAATAAATGTGAGGTTTTTTTTTTATTTGGTTGATGAAATTTTGACCCAATCAAATCCTGTCACACCATCGGTTGGTAAACAAATCTGTAAGTGGTGCCGTACATATAGCACAACTGTTTTGCTTTTTGCCATCACGAGGTCTCCCACTCAAAACTGCCCCAAGCCTTCCCCTAAACCACCTGCCGCCTTGCCTTCGGGAAATCCCCAAAGGGCAGGGGACAAGGAGGGCCGCCCTGTCGCTATCCCTACTCCCAAGAGAAAGGGGTAGGAAAATAAAGGAAAAGGATCAAAAGCAAACAAGTCGGGGTGGGGGCTAACTACACACTATACAGCCCATTAACCAAAAACTTGAAATGCAAGATAACATAATATAGAAACCAAAAAATTCCTGAAGATGGCCAGTATAAAGGCCTAATGCTCCACATTTATTATTTTAGTTATCAAAAGGAAAATGGAAGAACTTTGAAGCATATTATAAAAGTACAAGATTGACCTAGCGATTTTTCACATATTCCAAAAATGAAGGAACGTCAGCATATCGAAACTTTTCTTCACCTTCAGGGAGAGGCTTTTTTTGGAAACAAATTATGTCCCCATCTTCAATCTAGGAGAAGTGAGAGAGCCAGAGAGAGAGGAGGAGGAAAAAGAAAATAAATGAGCAAAGAAAGAAAGAAAGAT